AGATATATATATATACTATATATACATATATACATATACATATAATATACATATATATATAATATATATATATAATTATATATATATATATATATAATATATATATATATATAACGCTTTATACTATCCATATATATCATATATATATATATATATATATATATATATATATATATAAATATACTTTATATATATATATAATATATATCTATATCTATATATATACTATATATATATATATATATATATATATATATATATATATATAATATATATATATTATAAATATATATATAATATATATATACTTTATATATACATATATATATAGGCGCTGCTAATCTTTTTTTTTTCTAATTTCAAAAGTAATTAAAAACTAAAGAAAGCTTCATAAAATGTTTGAAACTGAAATGAAAATATAAAAGATCTTATATTCTTATTAAAATAACTCTTATATTTTTATTATGAAAGAATATAAGTTTTTTTTATTAACATGTCTATAAATAAACGCGTTTATTGAAATACGCCTACGCTATTTAAATTTATTTTGCGCATTTAAAGAAATTCATTACCATTTCCGCAAGATTATTTTTATTGGCTTCCAAAAAAATTACTTTTCTCGCTCTAACATCAATGCACATACGTATTACATTTTTCCTACAAGTTAGTGAGTTGTATCCAGGCCCGCCCAGAGCTTTTGTGATGCCCGGGTCCAAAAGTGTAATGGATGCCCTATCTTACTTCAGGTCTTAAAATGACAAATACAAAATAAATTAGTATAGTTAGTTTTTGTTTACTTTCATAGAAAATCTGAAATCACATTTAGTAAATTTTGGTTTTTAAAAACAAACTATGGTAAAATCAAGTCTTAATATCGAACGCATCTTTCTGGTCTTCTTATCGGCTAAAATAACTATTTGATAAGAAACGTTATTGGCTAAATCTGATTTAATTGATCATCAAGTAGCACAATCGCTTCTGGTCCATTGTGGAATGAAGATAACCTTTAATGATAGTTAACTTATTGAAAGATCTTTCACCTTCAGATGTTGACACGGGAAACATTTGGAAAATTGTGAAACACACCCTAGTGTGAAAAAAGTGAAACACACCCTAGTGAAAATATTGAATGCAATCCCTTTGCATAAACTTCATTTAGATGTTCGGCAGGCTTTTTGCTGCCTAGAATAATTCTTCTTACAGAAAAAAAAATGCAAAACTTCATTAGAAAATTCGTTTTTACATAAGTCTTCTGGGTGATGTTTTGCGAGATTCTCAGCTTTTAAACCTAGTTCTTTGTCTGTTTGAGATTTCTGTGAAGACCAAAGGAAGGAAAACTTGTTACATTCCACTTGTATTACTTTAATCTTGATTTCATTTGAATAGTCAGATTGCCGAGTGCAACATTGAAGACATTAGCCTTGACTACGACAATTTTTTATGTCGAACTCAATCTCTTCCAACTCATTCAATATCAACTTTGTTATATCAAATCCTTTCTTCTTTTCAAGTTTTTCTAGTTTAAGGAACCTTTCTTTGACCTCCCACAGATGATTATCACTGAAATGCAAAAAAACGAAAAATGAAAGTAATTTGACTGCTGGTGTGACAAATCGTCAGTGCTGTACGTGGTGATAGTGAAATATATTGATTTTTTGATTTCTCAAATACCTTCTAAAACCATACTCGATAAACTCATTCTGTAAATTTCAGGACAAGTAATAAACTTGCTACGCTTTTCTTTTTCTTGGTGCTTAGCTGTAATCTCTAAGAAATTTCATTCTCATTTTTAAACACTTTTTGATTGGATCCTAATTGCAAACAAAAAATTATCAAAATAGTAATCCATATTTATATCCAATTATAAATTATAATTTTGATTTTAAACTATAAATAAAATAATGCAAAATATAATTTAAAATTCAAAAACAATATTCTTAATCCTAAACGCTAAATTTTATTAAGTTAGAAAAATTGTGACATCAAGAATGCATTATAAAATTACTTTCTATCGCTTTGTTTTATCTCTAAAAGAACTTTTACCGTTATTTTTTTTTTTGCCGTTATATAAGAATTTTTTTTATTTTATTATGCAAGCAAAAGGGCAACGAAAACGCGTGTGTTCAAATGGAAAATGAAAACCTTGTAAAGTAATAATTATCCTATTTTAAATATAAACAAATTTTTAAAGGAGAACAAAATTATTATACAAAGTTTGCTTAAGCTTTAAATATGTTATCGTCTAAATTTTTTGTTATTACAATAATTTTTAAAGGTATATGTGATGCGCCACAGACTGCGATGCCCGGGGCAAACTTCAATTGCCCCTTCCTCTTGGCGGCCCTGTATACATATATATATATATATATATTATATATATATATATATATATATATATATATATATATATATATATATATATATATATATATATAGATAGATAGATAGATAGATAGATAGATAGATAGATAGATAGATATTTACCGTTATTTAATTGTTTTAGAATTTATTTAAGGCAATCTTTTCACTGTTTTTATTTTGATTTAAATAGCAAGCAAAAATGAATTTTTGAAATCGCGCACTCTAGCCTAAAAATGACCATCTGTCTAACGCTTTTTTGTGCGCCAATATTTCATAAATAATTTTTCTATAAATCAAAATTTCAAAATGTTAAATCTTGATTTAACAATTTTATTTAAAATCATCGAAACTTTCATAGGTTTTAATTAAATTAATTTATTTCAGGATGATTGCTCTGGCGATTACAAAGATCTTCTTTTACAAATCACTGGACATTAATTTGTTGAAGATTTTATTAGCTCTTTCACAATAAATACTTGTCAAAAAATATTTTGAATGGTTCTTTTTTATAAATATACATGTATAATATTGTATTGGTGGTTAGCCTTTTATTTTGTAATTCTTTTTTACTTTGAATCTTGTAATTATTTTTATTATATTTATAATTTGAATAATAAAAAAATGACTTTAGTTTTATATTTCTTTTTAATGTTATACATATCTATTGTTTCGATGCAATCTTGTGGTATTGATGGTTGTTAGTACCTTTTAATCATACTTTGTAAATTGCAAGCATTTAAAAACATTGAGAGCCGTTATTTTTTAATAGCATAGGGTAAAACACCCAGTATTCGCCACTTTTTTCTACCCTGCCCCACTAAAATATTTTTTTCTCACTCGTTTTTCAATAAATGATTGATCTTAAATATTTATCGTACAGATGGATAGTTGGGCTATACGCTGTACTTAGAACGAATGACCTCCGATAATTAATAAGGGGGCTATAGCCCCCGAAAGTTGAAAGTGGCGGACACTGGAACGGTCCCCGTGTTCGCCAGGCAATTTTTTGAACCTGTTCCAGTGTTCGCCACCCTCAGACTTTTTAAAAAATGAGTTCTTTTTTTTAGTTATTTGGTATTAAAAATATATTTAAATAATTGTTGAATAATTTTTTTATGTAATGGAAATTTTTTTTGGTTTCTTCTTTGCCTTTTTTGTTGCTGGCAGCAACTTTCTTTTAGCTGGAACACTTGGCTTGTTGCCTAATACCTTCTAGCATCGAGACAACTTTATCTGAAGTCACTACAGATGTGGCGTGAAGTTCTTGAGCCACTGTACGAACTTTTCCTATGAAAATTAAAATAATAATCAGGTTATAATAAAGTAAATTTATGACCATAGGCTACATGTGGTAATTTTACAGAGATTAAAAATGGAAATTATAATAATAAATTTAAAATATAGGTAGCCTAGTTAATACACTAACCGATAGCTTTTTTTGGAGAAGGGAACCACTTATGATTTTTAAGAGCAGGACTAATCGCAGGTGGTCTTGCTTGTCTTTGAGGTTCTACCAACATAGGCCTAGTCCTGTTTGGAGGGGCTGACATTGAGGAACACTGTGCATCTGAACTAGAATGAATACTAGGTGAATGAACAGGGGAAACAACAAGGGAATCAACAGCTGGTGCATCCTCTTGCCGATGATTTCGATCAAAGACATATTGGAACCAATTTTGCCTCTTCACCATTCTGAGTTAATCAAATCGTGGCGAATCGATGACAAAGTCATCAAATGATTTTGTTATCCTGTAATATAAATAAGAATTGTTTTATAATAGTTACTAACTTTTATTACCCTGTAATATAGATAAAAATTAGTTTATAATTGTTACTAACTTTTATTACCCTGTAATAGCTATAAATAAAAATTGGTTTATAATAGCTACTAACTAGCTAGCTGGGCTTATTATTTTATATTGATACAAATGTTAGACACTAATACCTAGCTATCACTTACAGGTGAATGTTTGGGCCTGCTCCCAGTCCTTCCATCGTGCTAGTACTTGTGTTACCAGACAAGATGATGTCAGAGGATGTCTGTGTCGCAACATTGACATGAAAAAAATTTTCAACTTGAGTGGAAGCTTCAACACGACCGTCTTGAAGCACTCCTTCAAATATTCGACTGTCTCCGGAGTGGGCTTCTTCAAGAGTGAGCTTGGTATAATCAGGAGCGTCTTGATCAAATGGCTGTATGCCACATTTTTTAAAGGATTTTACTATTTTCTCTCTACTCATGACCCTTGTGTACACTGGCAGGAACATTCCTGCAAAGGACTCTTTGGTAACGTATTCATTTGGGTTGGCAGCCCTGAACCTATTCACACACTTAGCCCATTCATTTTTCATAGGGCCAAACAATCCTACGTCCAAAGGCTGCATGAAATGGGTACAGTTTGGTGGGATCAATATAAGCATTATTTGCAGGTCTGCTAAGGTTTTAACTAAATGAAATTGCAGCCTCGATTCATGTTTGTCGGACCAAACTATAACTGGTCTTTGTATATTATGTTGAGTTAACCATTGGTCAAATGCATTAGTGAGATACTCATAAAGCACCTGATGGTTAATATATCCCGATTCACTTTTTCCGATTGCAAATAAACTGGATGGAATGGCTTCGTATACATTCATAGGAATACGAAGGTTAGGATAAATTATAAGCGGTGGAGGGAGAGAGCCATCGGCACCAACGTTAACTGCAAAGAAAAGTGAAAAAAAAACAAAAGTTAGCAAGCAGGCCAAGCTAGTATCATGCTAAGCTATCATGCTCAGAGATATGTTGAAAAAAAAGCAATTTATAGTGCAGCATTAAAAGAAAAGCATTACAGAAATAACATAAAAATGAGCAAAGAATAAAATGAAAATGTACCTAGAACAGTGATTCTTTCCTTTTCTTTTGAAGATGTCGCATACGGTACATTTTTAGAACCCTTAGCAGCTAAAACTTTGGAAACCTTGGGTGAAAACTGGAACCCCGACTCGTCGATGTTATAGTTACGCTGGGGTTCCTGAAGGATTTCAAGAAGGTCATGTTCAGAGAGGTACGATCTTATATCAGCAAACCATTGTTGTTTGACAGCTTGTGAGACATTTCTTCTATTCGCACTTAATGATTCAGTCATGCGAGCAACTATGTTAGGATGCCTCGACAGGAATAGCTTATACCTTAGAAAATAATGGCTAAATTAGTCGACTAGGTATAGGCTATTTCTATTAGACTAATTTTATGTCTGTATCAATTGTTATAAGCTTTATTTATTAAGCTACAAATGTTTTATAAAGTTAATTTGTAATGAAAAATCTTATGACTCGTTATTAAAATTATAACATTTTTTTTTATTTTAATTACCTATAGGTCAACTTTTATAACTTAGGCACAACCTACTTACCATTTATTCCCTGGCTGTCGAGTCCCTGATCTTCCAAATTGAAAGGGACGGTTTCTATTTACTTCCATAAGTAACCTTTCATCCGAAAGAAGACTAGTTACCAATGACATAATGGTTTCTTTGGTAACAGGGTGGGCACGTTTCTGTGCGCTAACAATAAAATTCACCAAAACATTTTCTTCTGCTTCAGTGAGGTAGGTTTGTGGGCCCATCTTTTTTACAACAGGCGCTTTACCACTTATTTTGTCCCTCAATGTGGTGCGCGGGATATTGTACAACTTGGATCCCTCTGAAGCAGTTCTTTCATCACTGAAATATAGCACAGTATAATTTAGGTATGCAACTACTTTATCAGTACTAGGCAGCCCTACCCTATGTACTTCTTTTAAATGTATTATAGGCATTTGGCTATTATGACTACACAATAAGCAATTTAAGCATTGAAATTATGTCTATTAATGCATGCTAATTTTATTACCTTTTTACTTCTTCAATTGCCTTTCTAATGTCCTCCTCAGTGTAAGAATCTCTTGTAGACATACGTGAACCCTTATTGGACTTTGATTTACTAGTATTCATAATTCTAAATGGATATTATGTACCTAGGTACTTATTGAAACTATTTATTATAAGTCTTAACTTGATATATAAATTAATTTAATATAGTTATATAGCCCTATTTGGACTGCTTTAGTATTGTTTAATAACTAGGTTAACAGATAACCTACTTCTGAAATAAAAAATAAATACTTAGCTATATCTATACATTTAATAAAAAATAAAAAATAATAATTTGTTCCCGATGGCGAACACTGGCAAAAGGGGGGTGGCGAACACTGGACAAATTTAAAACGCCTATAACTTTTTTGTTTTTAAACGAAATTCAACCTAACGAAGACTGGCATATGGGTCAAAGTCCATATTTTACCATTAAGCCCATATACGCCACTTTAAAGAAAAAAAAATTACCTGGCGAAGACTGGACTAGATACTATTATGTGTTCCAGTCTTCGCCACCCCCCCTAACCCTGCTCCCCTTAATTTTTTTCCAAGAATAGCCCTGGTACAATCTTCTCCTTGTTCTTCCCATCAATCTGGAATAAAAAAAGTGAATTTGAATTGATATTTAATATGTTTTTTATGTAATTGTTTAAAAAGATTTCTGAAAAAAAGTTTTAAGGATTAAGGTTTTTTTGTGACACACTTTCATTCAAAAAAATCCTGAGAGTTTATTTATTTAGTTACGATCGTCAAACTTTCGTCAAATATAAAGCAATGATGGGCGTTCATTCAAGACACTATTTCGGCACTTTCAACCAAATAGTTTTTGACATGCATGTTTTTTAATGGAAAACTGGCGACGACTGGAACACCTGGCGAACACTGGGTGTTTTACCCTAATACTCGATTTACTATTTTTATGGCTGTTGTTATGCCTATGACTTCCCCAATCTATATTCTGATAATTTAAGATAAATAATCTTTCAATATTAATAAAACCTAATGGATTACCTTCCACCCTCATTTGAAAAAGCACCCACTGCCAAATAAAATGTCTTATCTAATTATAATTTTTATTTATCTAATTATAATTTATGTAATGAAAAAAGTAAGCTTCATCAAATTCTTAGGCGTGCTTATATTTATAAAAATCTTTCTTGCGAAAAGCATATCAAAAACCTGGGCAGTAAAATATTTAAGAATATTAAAATATATTATTCAAAATAAGAAACACCTAAATTTCCAGTCAAGTAAAGTAAAACAAGAAGCATCCTAAAAAAACGCACTTTGCCTTATTCATATTCTTTAAACTATTGCCACAAACTATGGAAATGTTGTGTGGGGTACTACAAATAAAAGTCTACTTAATCCTCAATATCGTCAACAAAAACATGTTTGGATCGTTTTACTCGTGCCAAGCCTTTTTTTAATTGACATGAATGTTTTTAGAATTTTCAAGCTAAATCTCCAAAACCCTTTCCTAATTTAATTACATTTAAAAAAATGATAAAGCTGTTGCCATACAAATTTTGTATGGTATGTATATTTATATCTTTAAAATAATGCTAAAATTATGTGTGTGCGCCTACTCATGCGTTTTGACACGGAGCTGAAGACGAGGTAACGCTGAGAAAGAGTCTTTCAGCACTTTTGTAAATGGAAGTATAAGAAATTTACATACAGATATGTAAATTTACATACAGATATGTAATATACGTGAAATAACAACATGCCATTTAAAATTATGCTAATGTAAAAATTCCATTTATATTATAAATGGAATTTTTACATTAGCATAATTTTGTACAAAAGTTTGTACATAATTTTGTACAAAAGTTTGTACGTAACGTTATAAATTATAACGTTACGTACAAACTTTTGTAAGTGTAAAAGTGTTTAGCATAAATTGAGTTTGCGGACGATATACGGAACGATCGTGTATAATTTTTTTAAAAGGCCCGGCGAAATGATTTTTTAATATTCCAGATATGCCACTTCAGACAATGTGCTAACTCCAAACTTAAAAATGTTTATTATTACGGCAAATAAAAATATTTTGCAAAAAATTGCGGTTTTTGGAGCTTGGGAACAAAATACCCACAAATTATCAAAAATACTTACAAATTATCAATCACCTAAATATGAGGGTTAATAAATTATTTTTATACATTCTCATACTAAATATAAATTAATTGATGGGTTTTTAATTTTATCTTATAATATTTTAAAGTTCAAAAGTTTTAACCATGTAAAACTCACAACCCCCTCAATTTGGGAAGGATGGAATTTTACAAGTTTATAACTTTCAAACATGTCAATGAGAGAATATAAAATAGTTTCACTCAAACTGGTGCTGAATTCATAAAAATTTTTTAGATTGATATTTGGTATAGCTGCGGTCTTTCTAAATTTTTAATAATATCACTGAAATGGCTGCATAGGTCATGGTGCGTTTCATCAGCTAAGATACTTGATTCAAATTAACAAACATTAACGCGGTTTCGATTTACATTCTAGTATCTGATATGAATATCCATTTTAGAAGATAGGGTTGAAACTTTCATTAAAGTTATAAACGTGGATGTTTGACCATTTTAAAGTTTTTACCAAAACTAATTTAAAATGAGGAGTTAAGCCGCAATATAACTTATACGAAGTTTTAGTACGATTCATCTGAAAATGTAAAGTTATGGCACTGTCTGGAAACCTAGCAGTAAAAACATTGCTTAATCCATCATGTAAACGTAAAGAAAACCCACTATTCACGGTCTTAAGCTGCCAGATAACTTCTACTATATTAACATCTAACTTCATGACACAGAAGTCCAGTGTCTTTTGAATTTCTAAATTTGACTTGTGAGAATCTGCAAAGGCAAATGATAAAGAACTTTTCTGTTTTTACAGAAAAACCACTCACTTTTCTTAATGCTTATTATGTTTAGCTCCTTTTGCATAGTCTGTCAGGTCAATGCGTCTACTTGAAGAGAGTTCTGACCAGGGGTGTGGGGTCGTAAAAAAAAGTACCAACTCCAACTTCAGTTGTTAAAATTTTTAGAGTACGGCTCCGACTCCAATTTCAAAAAACAATTTTTGCAAATTTTTGAAAAATTCTTTGTATTTTTTAAAATATATTACGCAATAATAATAAAAAAAATTTTTATGCCAAATATATGAAAAATTCATTGAAGGTTAAATATTTTGTACATGCAATACCGAGAAGTTTTACTATTGCAAATGTCGTGATTCCGACTCCACAGCTCTGGTTTTGACAACATGTGACAAATAACACATTTTGCTTTAGTATCATCTTTAAGATAGTTCTTTAGCTAATCTTTGAAGTTATCATCGCCTTAAAATTTTTTTACCATTATTAAAACATTATTAAAACTACTTTGTTTTATCACTTTTTTTTTTTTCATCTAATTCCATATCTTAATTAGCTAAAACAACGCACACTATTTTTGTCTAAAGTAAAAATAATAAATATTGATAGCAAGATTTTAATTAAATATGAAATTTAAAGAAAAATGATGCTGGTTATAATTCCTTTTTAAGAGTTTCTTGTTTATGTCATCGTGCTGGATAGAGAAACTTGAAGTAAAACTAAGTTGAAACTGAAAACTTCTAAAAAAGAGCCCATCACTGAGTCATGAATCAGTGATTGCTTAATTTTCCTGTGTTATCTAATGATTTAATTTCAGGAAAATTCTTTTTTTCGAATATTTAAACATTTTTCACTAACTTATTTGGTAAATTTTAGAAAAATCTCGAAAAGTAGCAATTTCCAGAAGTTAAAATTTTCAAAAGACATTAGAATTAAAAAAAAAATTTAGCAAAAGAGTTTTTCCTTACTTATGAATCATAGTACCGTAAGAAATTAAAAAAACCATTAAGTTATACAAAATATTATTCATGCAATTTAAAACAAAAATAAAATATTATTTGAGTATAATGAAATTACAATAAAAAAGCAACAACATTGAAATCAATCCATAAGAGTTTAACAGATTAAATATTTTTTATTAAATTCATAGGTCAAAAAATAACATAATAAGAAACTCCCAAATAATTTAACGAAAATAAATTTAAATGATAAAATAATAAAGAAATGAAATAAAAATAAAACATAGTAATATAAAATGATGCTTCTCACTGACCACAAATTTGTAGAAGTAACTTTTTGTAGTCTCCCGAACAATCATCCTAAAATGTAAAAAAAATCTCTATGTTGAAATGGCAATTTTTTAATTAGAGTAATAAAATATAGACCTACGAAAATATTCATACAATTAAATATCGTAGAAAAGAAAGGAAAAAATAACAAAAACATACGGATATAAAGCTTGCTAACGTTTTCCCATAACTTGATTTAAATGATGCTTTTATTTGAACCATATCAATTTCTGAACGAGATACCATTATACGGATCAGAGTTTTGTCGTCAGTACCTAACCCCTAAATAAAAAAAAAGGTAAAAAAAAGATAATCACCAAAAACTTATTTAAAAATTACTTCAACAACAACAACAAAAATTAACCTTCATGGAATGATAAAGTCGCTCAGCAAAATACTTAGGTCTATCTTGAGCACATTTCACTAGAAATAATAAAAAGAAAAAGATGACAAAAAAAGGTTAAAAAGCAATGCAACATATTATTACAACAATTTTAACTAATAATATATATCGACACATTTTCACAATTTCAAATTATTATTTACAGTATTTTCGATTAAGTAATGTTAGATGGTAATCAGCAAGGCAAAGTTTAATTTCATTTGGCAAAGATTAATTTCAGATGGTATGATGGTTCACAACAGATGGTTCACAAGGCAAAGTTTAATTTCAGATGGTAATCAGCAAGGCAAAGTTTAATTTCAAATTATTATTTACAGTATTTTCGATTAAGTAATGTTAGATGGTAATCAGCAAGGCATGATTATATTAATGATGGTACTCTGAAGGTTTGGTTACATAAAGAAATTTTAGACCTTAAATTAAAAGGTTATGCACTATAAATGTCTTTTTTCATCTCTTTAACTTAAAGCCATAATTAATTAATTAATTACCATAATTAATAGTGTTTGGATGAAACCGAACAACAGTAGTATCGAAATAGAAAAGAAAAACAAAATTTAAACACACTAATTTAGTATTAATAAAGCAAAGTTTAATTTCAAATGACCATGAACTTTTGGCCATTCAACCAATTGCTCTTTTTAAAATATTTTTATAATCAGTTTTTTTCAGACATTCTCCATTCTAATGTTTCTTTAAATGCCAACCAACTGATCATTCTGGTTTATTAAACTTTTTAAGAAGGTTGCAGTAATGTTGGTGTTCTCATAGACATTTAATTTACGGTTACTAGTTGAACAATTACTTACTCCTTTTCATTTAAAGTTAGGATGTAATATAAAAAAAAAAAAATTTAGAAGTTGATTTGAACCTTGAGATGTTAATCTTAAAAAATTAATGAGTGATTATTAAAAACGGTTTGATTTGGTTTACCTAACAGAGTTAAAGCAACAACATTTGTATAACAAATTTAATGGTAAAAAACAAAGTTACATTTTAAGAATAAATGACATTGTATTAATTGATGATAAGGACTTTAAACCTTTAAACCTAAAAAATGATAAGCGACTAAAGGGACAATCTGCCATAGAAAAACAATATTTAATTAAGGGACAAGTTTTGTTAAAAAGTCAACAGGGGGGAGTGTGTAGAAAATGGGAATTTCTCAATAATCAAGTTGAATTAATGATTTTTGCATAATAAATTTTTTGGTTATTTTTATTGGTTCTTCTCAGGCCTTTTATTATATGCTGAGTAAGCATGTTGTAAGTTTTAGTGGTTCTCTACTGTTTTATTGTAGTTCAACTATGTCAAATTATGTATGAAGAAGTTCATATATTTGATCAAATTGCATTATTATAAAAATTATTATTATATGAAAGAAACAGTGAACTCGCGCTATAATATTTTACAATCTTAATTTCAAATTTTGTCTTGTAGAAGAAAAATTCAATCCTTGAAAATTAACTATATAGTTATAGATGTTTGGAGTTTGGAATGATTTTACATACATCTTAGTAGATTTTTTGAGCTAGTCACATTATGCTATGTACTCTAAAGCATTTTAAAGCTACTTAAAACAGTGTACACCACAAAAAAAAAAAAAAAATACTATGAAACATGGTGACGTAAAATATTTCCTCTAATGCTGTAAAAAGTATTCCCAAAAGCATAATGCAAATGTCCACGGTTTATTAAGAGTTAATGCAGAAACCAGACAAAGCCATGTGAAAATCACTCTTCTAACTCATGAATTTAAAGTTATCTGAAATCTGAAGAATCTAAAGTTATGAATCTAAAGTTTTTTTAGCTTTTTAGACATTTTTTAACAATGGCTTTTTTTTTAGACATTTATTAACAATGGTAGACTGCTTCACTGTGTTGGTTGGGAAAAATTTTTTCAAGAAATTGCAGAAAAGTTTGTCAACTAAGTCTAAGGAATGATATCAAAATGTTTATTAGATCCTGCAAAAATGTTTTCAACCAAAAGAACCTTATTACAATGGTTAAAAAGTACTATTCTGAACCAATTATTCGATTGGGGCTGGAAACCAAAAGAAATATTTCTTGTGACAATACCGACAGGTACAGACAGGTATATTACTGGAGTTTTATATATTTTATAGACTATTTTTTTTATATATTTATTAAGTGCACATGAGAACAATTTGAAAGTGCACATGAGAATAACTTGTGTTTTGATCAATAAAATATAAAAATTATATTTTTTTCTAAATACATATATTTCAAAACAATAACATACTGTAAATTTATTATATTGTAAAAAGAGTATTTGGAAAACTTGGCAGAAAAAAAACTTTATTTTTTGTTGATTCAAATGACTTGAAAAAGAACTTTTTCTAATGAATTGAATTTTATAAAGTTCTATTTGTTTCATTTTTTATATAAGAAACTAATTTCAGAAGCATTTTTATGCTTTTAAAGAAGTGGATTCACAGTATTTACATTAAAGATATACATTATAATATAATACATATAAAGTATTTACATTTACAATCAGCATATTTTCAGATGGTTTAAATCATTTGGTTTAACCTATCAACCCTGTGTAAAACAATAAAAACAAAAGCTTTCTCAAATTAGAGAGAAAAAAAATAAAACATTTTAGGCAATAAAGTTGCATTTTTATGGTTTACCATTTTCAGCATACTTAGGTAAGAACTGTTTTTTGCCATTTGCAGCATACTTAGGTAAGAACTGTTTTTTACCATTTGCAGCATACTTAGGTAAGAACTGTTTTTTACCATTTGCAGCATACTTAGGTAAGAACTGTTTTTTACCATTTGCAGCATACTTAGGTAAGAACTATTTTTTACCATTTGCAGCATACTTAGGTAAGAACTGTTTTTTACCATTTGCAGCATACTTAGGTACTGAAGCAAAAACATATAGTAACATATAAATGCAAAGAAACAAAATAATACCAATGGCTAGCATGCCATCTTTCAAGTCTCCTGACATTTCACTCTGAATAGCTGCGTCTAAAGTTTTTTTTGATATCTACAAACATAAAAAACATTGAACAAGCTTTTGTATTTGTATATTGAACAAAAACAGAAAATATTAAAGCATGTACCTTTCGGTATTCCTCAAAAACTAAACGAAGCTGTGGAAAACTTCTATCAGCTAATATCACATTGAATCTGCAAAGGATTTAAACATTAAAATTAAAAACAATAAGAAGATAAAATAAAAAAATTAAAAAAATTTAAAACTTAAATTAAATTAAACCTTGATTCATCAGTACCCCATCTAGCTTCTCCAGCTTTATATAATGCCTAAAAAACATAGAACAACGTAAAAACGTAAAAAATGTAGAAAACAAGAACAACTATAATACTGCTATTTTTTCATACAACTTCTTTTTATTTAAACAAAAAAAAGTTGTATGAAAAAATAGTTTTAAAACTTCGCTTTCAAATTCAAAAGTTTCAAACATGAAATATTGTTTTATTAAAAAAAAAAAATTGTTTTCCTTACATTTATGCATTAAAATTATTAAAAATTATTAATTATTAAAATTATTCTTTTTCAATATTCCTAAATTTATTCTTTAAAACTTGTTATCTTCAAACTAGATCTTAAATGAACCTTTAAAATTTTACACAACCTTACTATGCCCCGAAAATACACAAACAACTAATTTTTTACTGCAAAAAAATAAAATAAAAATATGGACTTAATGCATGACCACATTGATGTTTATAATTTAAACTATAAATATTTTTTACTCCATATTAATAATTACACCATAAATTTTATTCAAAGGTTGCAGTGTTATAATAAAAATGATTTGTAATATCAGTTAATGGAAACCTTTTTCTTACACTCTATAAAATATGTTTTGATAAATACATAGTAAAGCTAACATCAACATACACAAAAAAATAAAGTACACATCAACATACACAAAAAAAAGTCTTCTTCTAATCTTTAATAACTTATCAACAAAATTTAAAAAACCAATTTTCTTTCATATGTTTTTCTAACCCATTTATTTCTCTTCTTTATCATTAAAATTCATACTTAGCTTTTAAGCAGCTGTGAACTCATACTTGTTCATGGGATTAATTGTTTTCAAACAATAATTTATCTATCATTATTTTTGATTTTTTTAACATTTCTTTTTGTTTGATTTTTTTACATTATATAAAATATATAAAATGGATAAATTTAATAATAAATAAGATAATTTTAAAACAATTAGATAATAAAAAGACAGGTAATTTCAAAACAATTCTTGAGTACCATTAAATAGAAGAACTTAACACACAGTGGTGTTGAATGTTTTACTTTTTTAACTTTCAACAAAGATATGTAGGATGGGGTCAATCATAAAACTCTCATAATTATCATAAGTTACCAAAATTCTTTTGCAGTAACAAATTCTTTATGAATTAGTTGCACAAACAAGTTTTTTGACACAATAAAGTTTACTATGAGCTACAGTAACCACTCGGTTCGAAACCTCCACATATCATGTTTTATTGTTATTAAAAAACGGGGTAGATAAACAATAGATCTTAAAAAGCTCCCAAAAGATAGATAAAATAAAAAAAAAAAACATTTAGATTTGAAAGAAAAGGAAAGATAAAGTACAAAAAAAAAGGGAAGATAAAACCTGGATACAAAAACAACAATCAGCTAAATATACTTCTATTAAGACTTTTATTGTGCAATAATTTAACAATAAAGTAACAGCATGTTTCTGGTCTTCAAATTCATAGCTTATTAAAAACCATAAACAGTTTAAATGAAAGCATCAATTTAGAAATAGCAGCTGCACAAAAAAGAGAAAACCATGGGAGTGAGGCTAGAATTAAAACAGACACTATAATTAATGAAGATAGTATATGTTGTGACTCGATCAATAATAATAAATATGATATTTCCAAACTACTTTTAACTGAAGAAAAACGTACCTAAAATCCAATAAATACTCAGTTGACAAGGGAGCAAAGACCATTATGTTTCAGGGATATGAAGATATAAAACTTAGTTATTTGCAGACAAATAGTAACAGTATTTTTATATACACTTGGCAATTTTATATAAATACAAATAGCCTGCTGCTAGGGGCTTCAGTACATACATCGACTGACAAATAACCTGACTTGCAGTGGAGTGCTGCTACATCGACTGAGGGTTTGGTATGGGTCAGCAACCTTTTCATTCATTATTCTTCTTTTTCCCTCATCGTTTTCTAAAAACGATCACTTAATTTAGGCTAGCAAAAAAAGTGAGCAATTGCGCATATAAATATGCTATAGTAGATAATAATATATATATATATATATATATATATATATATATATATATATATATATATATATATATATATATATATATATATTTATATATATATATATATATTTATATATATATATATATATATATATATATATATATATACATACATACATACATACATACATACATACATACATACAAAAAGTTAATCTCAGTTAGTCTGAAGGATGTAGCAAGAATTGTAGTGATAGGGTGAATCTAATGTAGAAGTAGTGAAAGATAAAAGTTTTAGTGTGATCATAGCATAATCAGAAAAAACTAGAGCTGATAATGATTGGTAAAGTATTTTTTTCTGTCTTAATATAATTAGCATTTTTAGATACTTGAAATTTTAAATCAATAAAGAATTCAATCAAAGAGATTTTAAATAAAATGTATTATGACTACTTCTTACTTATGTAATTAAATAATACAAAATTTAATGCAAATACCAAATTACTCTGGTCTTTAGTTATCCAAATAATTACTCTGATCAAATATATATTCTGGTCAAGTTTAAATAATCATTCTAGAATGATGACCTTCTAAACAAGATATTCTAGACTGATGACCTTCTAAACAAGTTTTAAGATAATATTTTTTGGTGCCATTCCTTTGATCAGATTTCTGTATGAGTGACACCATCCTAATAAACCATTAATTTATTATTATATTAATATTAGTTATTATTATTATTTTTTCATTGTAATTATTGTAAAAATACTTATTATTATATATTTTTGCTATTATTACTATTATTATTATTATTATTATTATTATTATCATTATTATCAAAACTATTGTAAAATGATTTACGGAAAATAAATAGCTTGTGTTGTTGTTGTTGTTGTTTTTAATATTAAGAATAATCTTTATAAAGAATACAATATTTACAGACAAATAATTTTAAAGTAAAGTATTTCTCAACGGTTTCTATTTAATGTATATTTTAAATGATAGAAACTTTAGGCAGGAGTAAAAGGTACTAACATTTTATATCAATGTGTATTTTATTCATAGCAGTATCTTGCAAATAAATGATTTTCTTTACATTAGGGAGTTCACAACTAATTCTAATTTTATCAATAGAAAATAATTATCATTTACACTATTTTATTTATAACTGACTACAGCTTGGAAAAAATGAAACTTCTTAATCAAATTCAATTTTCTGATTTAAATAAAGACGAGAAAAGTAAAACATTCAAAGCAAAGATTGGTTTATGCAACAACAGTTTGTTTTTTACATGGAGTATATATGTTGTATATAAACATTGTGGTAGTGGTGTATTCATAGAGCGCTTGCTTTGAAAGTGAGAAGCTCTGAGTTTGATTCCCACCCCTTCTCTGGTAGTACTGTGCTCAACTTATTTCTCTGGCAATGTTCATGTTTCAGAGTAAAAGAGTTGAGAGAGGGTTTTAACCATATTATCAAATTTGGTAGCTTAATTAAAAGATTTAACAATTAACAAATTTTTGTATTACATCATGTGGGCCGTAATCCATTTTTTAGGTAGAATTCTTGCAGTTTTATTTAAGAAGTCTTTAATCACATCCTTAATCTTTTTGATCAAGAAGATATTGGAAATAGTTCTTAACGTTGACTGATAACAATTTTTATGAGTTTGATGATTCAAAATTGTTTTGATGAAATATTATTTTGATAAATTATATTAAAAAATTGAACAACCAAGTTATGAATCAAGTGCAAATTCTGATCAACGCTTCATCAGTTTATCTATTAAGTATGCACATGTGTGAAAAAGTTTAAACTTGTGTAAATACTAACATGTTTTAAAAGTAGTTTCAAGTGGTGTGGAGCTTATTTTGATATATAAAGTTAAATAAAAAGTAAACAATGTTTTTTAAGGTTGGATAAAATGTTTCTGAGTACCCAATAGCACTCTGTAGATGAAGTAATACTCTGTTTATTTTTATAGTAATACCTTTACATATATAGTTATACCTGTTATACTATAAAGTAAAATTTTTAAATAAAAAAACCTGAGCATCTTCAACAGCTTTCTGATGGTTTAGTGCATCATTTTCATTTCGTGATCCCTAAATAAAATCTGATCTATCTGAAAAAAATATTTACTTCAAAATTATAATAAAGTTGATATTGATCAGAAAAATATTAAAACATTAAAAAAATTGAATTTACTTGTACTAGTGACACTAAAAGTCTTCGAAAATGTCCTGATGTTTCAGATAAAATCCATTTCTCAAGATCTTCTTTATATACTATAACAACAATAAAACTTTATTACATAAGCACATGCATAAGAAAAACTGATATCAAATTATGAAAGAGATATCTAAAGAAGTCCTGTGTTATGTGCACAACTTTATAGATAATAAACAAAAGCAATCTAAAAAAAAGCAACTCATTCAATTATTTTTTTTTTTACTTTAATTCACCTTCCCATTACAGTTGTGGAGGCTACTTTTTTTAGTTATGGTTACAACCTTCTCTATAACTCCAAAACGCAAACCTTGACAAAGAAGGCTGCTGCGCAGAGAAACAAGTTGAGTGCAATACTACGAGGAACGTGGTGGGAATCAAACTCAGAACTTCTTGCTTATTAGGCGAGCGCTATACCACTACACTACCATTTTATTTGCTATTTTTGTAATCTTAATTTAAATGTATATTTTGCAACAAAATACTTACAAAACACATAAATAAAATAATTTCAATTAAAAATAATATGAATTTTCCTGCCTCAGGTTTTTAATACTTTGTCTTATTAGTGACCCATATCAAAAAGATTTTTTTGTTTGGCAGACATCTCATTCTTGATGTTTGTGGCAGCCATCTTGATGTTGCTTTTATTTGAATAATTATTGTGCAACCACTACAACTATGATCTAATTGATCTACAACTATGATCTAATTAATCTCAATTTTTTGCCAGAACACTCCTTAAAATATATGTATTTTAGTGAAATAAAAAAAATTTATCCAAAATTATTATTTGATAATTTGCTACTTTGGTTCACATGCCATTTTCCCAGATAGACAGCATGTGATACAGAATCATCATTTTGATTTAGTTCCCATTGTTTTTATGAAAAGTAAACATCATATTCTGATTCCTCATCTTTACAACTATACAGGTGCATATTTTCAGTTTCATCGTATGCATGGTTGTACATAATCAATAAAATAGAAACAACACCAAAATCCAGAAGAGTGCTGAGCAAAAAAAGTGCAGAGCAAAAAAAATTCATAAAACAGCTGATTATGAAGCAATGATATCTTAAAAACCAATTTAATAACAGAGCTGAAATTTCCAAAGATAATCAATGTGATGTAAGTGATCATTTGGTTATATTAAAAAAATCTGAGATGGTAGGTTACAAGTTTGTCTCACTTTTGGAACGCCCCTTATACAAATTTATACTTCATAAAAAGGCTATTGTAAAAAAATAAAAATTAACTAACACGCTTTAACATCTAATTCAAATAATCAGAATTGTGAAGATCTTAAAACTTAAATAGTAAATCTCTCAATTTATGAATAAGTAAAAAAAAGTTTTGTTACTGGTGGACAATTCATCAATTCATACTTTTTGTATATTTTTATTAACTGTTTTTAAAAATATTTTTAAGTGCTCATTAATTAATTCTTAAATGACAACCCTCATTCAGTCCTCTTCTTTACATTTCCTTGGATTATCGTTTACTATTGACCTTTCATGGAAACTATATATAAAACCAATTTCTAAATTAGTATCTGCTTAGGTTGCTTCTCTTTATCGTGCTCACCATTTTCTCTCTCCTGATTCCATTTTCTACTTCTACAAATCTCTTATTTATCTGTGTGGAATACTGTTGTCATATTTGGGCTGGTTCTTCTGTTTCCCTGACTCGTACAACCTTCAACTTTTTAAGTCTTCTGTCAACAGTTTCCTTGCTCTATAACGACATTCTTTTTTTCTAATAACTCCTAACTTAATAACGGTTGTTTGCAGCCTTATTGGGAGTGAATCAGAATTTAAAAAAAAACATGATCTAGTAACATATGACACTATTAGCATTCAAGATGATGTCACTATAACTCACTGTTATAATCTCTATATTTACTCAAAATAATATTTTAAAACAAAGGTACAATTAACTATAAAAACAATATTAAAAAAACATACAAAAATAAAAGAATACTATATTTTAAAAAGTTTGCATGAACATACATCGTTTAAAAGCACTAGAAGCAGCACGTATTTGCTCATTGGTTCTCGTGCATAAGATCTCTATTAATGCCTTTTCATCTGTTCCAACCCCCTGATATAAAAAATAGATAAATGTATATACTTTTAAGTTTCTGATATCAAAATCTAGTACTCTGATTTGTAATATATTAAGAAGTATACTATATATATCATCTGATTTATAGAACACTAAAAATAAAACCTTCATTGATTCAAGTATACTATATATATCATCTGATTTATAGAACACTAAAAATAAAACCTTCATTGAAGTATAAAGTTCTGAAGCATCAAACTCATCAGGAGGGGTAAGCAAAGCAATCACTGTTTTTTCAAAGTTTCCACTCAGCTCACTCATCAGTTCTTTAACAAGATTCTAAAAAAAAAAAAAAAGTTTTAAATGATTTGAATAAAAGAAATTGAAGCAAAACTTTAAAAAATTCAACTAAGTTGGTGCTACATGTGGTGGTACTATGTGAGGTGGTACAATGTGCGACGGTCATATTTGTTTGTAAGCTTTCTTAATAAAGGGTATGATATTTGCAGGTAATGGAGAGCTCTATATAGCAAATGCTAACGCATGCATACAAAATTCTTTTTTGCCGATTCCTTTTCTTAATCTTTTTTCTCTATTCTTTCATTTTGCTTATAGCTAACAATAATTTTATGTCCCCCACACTCCCCTAAAACAGTTTATGGGAGCAATTTACAGCTCTCGCAAAAGTATTTTTCTCTCAAAAGTTTAATTATCATTGTAACTAAAATGAAATACGCAAAGTCAAAAAAATTTAATTTGTTGGATAATAAACAGGCACGGTTTTTGCAAAGTTAAAAAAATTCTTACTTTTAAAGAATTTTTTCACAGCACAGCAAATGACACTTGTCTGTTTATATTATTGTAATATTAACATTACAAACATATGCTAATTTTTATATAAATAAACAGATAGCTTGTGCAAAAACCAAAAGCTCTTGTAAAAAGCAGTTTAGAGAAGCAGCTCACATGGCTTGCCATGTTAGTTATAAGTGAGCTTTTCTTTTTTTTGTCTATCTTTTTAAGTCTTTTTTTTTTAAATTGTTTCACATTAAAACTAAAAAATGTGAAGATAGAACAAGATAATTATAACATTGTGTTATGTTATGTATTGTAGTTCAAGTTGCGAAATTTTCACTATTATAAATCTTTCTTTGGTTTGGTTAGGGTAAGGGCAGTTTGTTTGGCTCGGTTTGTTCCCAACAATTCCAATGATTGGGTTTGGTTTGGTTTGGTAAGAAGTAAAATTTGTTTAAAAAGTGTTTTCTAAATCATACAGATATTTTTCCTAGTAAGAAATGCGTCACCACATATTTTGAAGATGCATCATACCTGAACCTTGAAATGGTTGCTAAGACAATGGTAATTAAGCAAGATAACATTGCTATACTATGCACAGATGACACTACAAAAGCTGCTTTAAAAAAACTTTATGTTGTGAAGGCTGACCATAACTGTTCAAGGACCAAATATAAAGCATAGATCATTTACAACTCCATTGCGGTAGAAATAAAAGACTTGGTTCATTTCTGGATAACCAACAGAACCAGAAACTGCTCAATCACACTGCTTCATCTTGATAAGATGAGAGCAAAATTCTGAAGCATTCAGTGCATTTAATTCTGGGCGTATATCAAACATTTGAACAAGTTTTTATTAATACGGAACAAAAGGTCAGTGTGCAGAAGCTAATTGCTTCTAGTAAGAAAGTGTTCAAGTCTGACTCCAGAATTCACACCCTCAGTCTTATAGCTATTGCTATGTTATTGTTGCCAAGCTATGCTGCACATTATATTTCTCTCAATTAAAAATATACCCAGTGGGTAGATGCAAAAGGAATTCAATGCTGGATTCAAGGGTTTCCTGGCTAACAGATTTGGCCAGATAGCAGAATTGTTGAATGAAACAGATAAGGAAATCACTGTTTTTTTCATAGGTGACAATATATAAAACATCCAAAAAGGTTAACTTTTAAAATTGTGCCATTATCAGAATATTAAAGCTACATTAACACATAAAACATAACACTCTACACTATTACATAAAGAGAAAAACGAAAAAAGATTTTCAAAAAATATACATACTTTTCCAAACATTGTTGCAAATTCAAGTTTAATTCTTTGACGTTGTGCATTTGATCTTGTGCCAATTATTTGAATCACTGCTTTTTCATCCGTTCCTTAAAAAGTATAAAAATTCTAGAAGTGGCTAAAGTTGTAATAACTGTAATGCTGTAAAAACTGTTATACTTTATCGACTATAGTGCTGCCATGTTTATTGTGTTACAATGACTTGCTTTAACAACTATTGTGATTTAATGACTGTATTAATAAAATCCCATGGTGGTGCAACAGCTAAGGAGAGATTAATACCAAAATAACTAGATATGGATATAATCAGGGAAAAAATTCATTAACTGAAATGTTTCTTTAAGACAGTAATTCTTGTTTTTGAAGTCTTTTATTTGTTATTGTTTGTTAACAAAGTAAAAGATTTTAATATGGCATTAAGAGGTGCAAAATGAACTTTTCTAGATAAAGATAACCTTTGTAGAGAAGTAACTTTTCATAAATAAATATACATCAATTTGCACCATGAAGTACTGTAATAACCATAAAAATAATATCTAGGTATAATGAAAGAGGTACACGAAAAAGATTTTATTTTGTTTTTTGGGTAATGTTTGAAATTTTATTTTAGAGTGCATTTTATAGTTAAATGAACATTGTATCAGAATATTTTTTTAATTTTATATTTATATATTATATGGTATGTTAATATTATATGCTTTTGTAAGTAACTGCAGGTTTTCCAAAAAATCTGAAAAAAAATTATTTCAGTATTGTTACAATTATGGTGGAAATAAAAACTTATAATAAATAAATAAAAATAAGGTATAGCTGTAACAACTGGTGTTAACAGTTGTGAAGTGCAATAAAAGTAGATATTGCACTGTAACAGCTCAGTTTTCTACTTATAAAACTACTTATAAAACTGAAAATTGACATTGAACTAAAAGAGCTTGTTGTGTTGTGAACAATAAAATTAAAATTAAAAAAAAAAAACTATAAACAAATAATAACCTTCTTACCAAAACCCTTCATTGCTTTGCGCAAATCCTCTGCATCTTGTTGTGGTTTGAAAGAAGGAAAATCTTTTACAGTACCTTGAGTTGCTGGCTCTTTTGGAATTTCTGCAGTTGTCTGCAATTAAACAGATTTAAAGTTTAAATAAAATCTTTTGATTCAAGCAATTCAAATTTAATAACTTTGACATTTTAAGACACCTGTGTTTTTGTTTGAATATATGATTGCTGCTGTTCTTGGTAATTAGATTGCTGGGTATAAGAAGATTGAGCATTGTTGGGTTGGGAGCCTGCAATTTGCTGGGGATTTGTTGGTTGCTGAGGATATGTTGGTTGCTGAGGATAAGTTGGCTGCTGAGGATATGTTGGTTGCTGAGGATATGTTGGTTGTTGCGGATACGCTGGCTGCTGGGGATAAGTTGGTTGCTGAAAACCAGTAGACTGCTGTGCAGGGTAACCGGTTTGCTGTGGATAAGCTTGGGAATTTTGTTGAAAGTTTAATGCAGCTGAAACTGCATATGTAGTACTCTATAATGACATTTATACAATAATTAATAATAATTTTAAATATGGAAAATTATTTATCAATTATACAAAAATAGTTAATTATATTAATAAAATAATATTAAAACCGCAAATGAATATGGCTGATTATATTGAGGTCCTCCTGGCATGGGCATACCTGCTAAAGAAAAAATTTAAAACTTTGCATACATTAAAGTGAGCATACTGAACAAAAAAATTTGAGCAAGCAATAATAAAACAATCAAGCAACCATAAAGTTAAAAAAGTCTTACCTACTTGAGGATAAGGATTGTGCATAGGAACCGTGTTGTAACCTCCAGGAGTATAGCCCCCATGCTTTAAAAAACAAATATATTTAAAAAACCTTTATTGAGTATAAAATATAATATAGAGTAAATCCATGACCAGACAACTAATTTTGTTTTTAAATGTTCTATGTTTTTTGATTTCTTTTTTTTATTTTAACCATAGTACTGAATAAAAGATGATAAACTTTAAAATTGTGAAGTCTAACTCCAAGCAGTTTCAAGTTACTATTGTTTAGATTTTGGTAATATTATTGCTTATGGTCAGTTTCCGCTTTTATGAATATACTTTTTTTTTTTTAATCAAATCTACAAAAGAGAAAAAAAAATACCTTAAAATAATCTCTTAGAAATTCAAATATACAAATTACAAACTTGTGTTTAAATTATAAAAAACCTAGAAACGAACTTCAAACAAATATTAGCTGATAACCTCAGAAAAAAGCTGGGGTGTACTGATAATTTTCTCAAAAAAAAAATTCAAAATAAAGTAGTGTTTTGAGAAAAACAACAAAAAAATTCATTCTGAAAAATATATGGCTTAAAAGTTAAATGGAAAATTTCATAACAAAACTGAATATAGTTTATTTGATTTTAATATTGATTAAAATAAAAAATAATGTGCATACTGAAGATTATTTAAATTTTTATTTATATAAATCTATATGTTTTCAAATAAATTAAAAATGATCAATTTTTAAATTATATTTTATGATTTCATTAAAATCTTTTTTCAAAACTTATGCAAAACTTTATAAAACTCAAGTTTTTTTGATGTTACCATGACCATGATAAAATGGGTGAATAAATTTCATTTTTATATCATGTTGCTCATCTTTTTCTTCAACTAATGCAAACAACTTAAATGAGCATAAAACAAGTAATGTCCACTAAAATGAGTATGTAAATCCACTTAAATGATTATGTAAATGAGTATGCCTAATTATCTTAATTCTGTGTCAGCTCAAAAAAAAATTTTTCTTCTTATTTGATATTTATATTGTTACTAATGTTGTTAAATAAAATTAATGTTTTCACAAAAACTCAACTTGTACAACGAATTCATAATTTTCTGAAAATGCACAAACCACAATTGATTTTAAATCATTTAAGGAAATTTATTTTACATTTAAAAATATACAAGAGAGCAGTTTGTTCATCAATAAACTTCAGCAAAAAATTCTATGTTTCAACAGTTTTAGTTTTTGTGATAAGTTGGGCTCTGCCAGTACTTTGATAATGATATAAGTTAAAGTCATTTTTTAAGTCAAGTTCTACAAGCTCTTTAAAAAGAAAGTCTTAGGCAATCCATTCCTTGACAAAAAAAAAATATCTTAGAATCGTAAACTAATTTTTTTTAAATGTTACTAACCACAGTATAACAGCATTATTTTGAACATATTTTCCAATCAAGTAGCAAAAGTATACTATTGGCCTTAAAGAGTTTAGTTAGAGGCATACTCTCTATACTGAGAATTAAAGTTTATCATTTCATCATCAACATTTCTAGATCATACGCTTTATTTTGCTCTGCATTTGATTGAGACACGGTTGTATTTCTATGAAATATAAATTACTTTTTTTATAAAAGTCAGCTTAGTCTTCAAAAAAAATTTTTTTGGCAAAGGCTACACATTAATGTGAAACAACACAAAGTAATTTAACATAAGATTCTCCTAAATTACCAGTGATAAATTAATGTTATAAATCTTCTTTTGTCAATACTTCAACTGCTTCGCAGGAGTATGCTGTTAATAAATCTATTTTTGACTACACAATTTCTAACCAGGTAAAATCTTACACCTAATAACTATAAGTACCTTGCCGATATTAAAGATATGGTCAACTTCTCTAAAAATAAAATATATCTTAAAAAATTCGCATATTATTGTGTATACTTTTACACATAATATTTAGATATATTTACAGTTAAACTACCTTTTCTGGCACTTTATAAAAATCCTAGAATTGTCATTTTTCTTTTCAAACGTTTATTTTTTTTCTTAATTCTTCTTTACATTAACATTATTCAAAACTTTCTAAAATGATTTAATGAGTACAAAAATTCTATTTCTAGTATGAAAACATTTTTACACAGACTAAGAGATTACAATTGGATTATAAATAAAAACTACAACAACTAATCAAAGTAATTTAATAATTTATAAGTGCAGAAATACCAATTACATTTATGTAACATTAACTGCAAAGTTATTAAATTATAAAACTTATTAAACTCAATCTGATTTTAGCTGACTATGAGAAATGGAAAAAGATATGACAAAGACAAATGTAAACAATGTCTGTTTGTTTTTTTCCCTTAAAATTATATTGTTGGAATTAGACTGTATTTGATTTAGAAAGTTAAAACAATCAGATTCTTTATGCTTCAGACAGTTTAACTAGAATATTAAAAAAAAAAAATGTAAAAAATACTGATCATGTGAAAGTTAATTGGTTTTTCAATCTTAAAATTAAAACTCTCAATTTTTTTAATTTAATTTACAACACTATTTTTATATATGTTATTAATATTTTTATACATTATTTAAACAAATATTCCTTGTGTTAAAGTTACAAATTTAATTACGTATAGATTTTTAATTTTTTTTTTACAAAAACATGTATCTTGGAAAAGGAAAGATTTTTGTTTGTTTTGTTGTTTAAACATATTTTGTTTGGTTGTTTAAAACAACTGTTTTTATTTTAAATTATATAAAATTTAAAAAATATTAGTTTAAACAATTTATTGCACAAACTTTTTACTGAGACTGAATTTTTGAGTGTTAAAATTTGATTTCTAAGTATTTTATCATAAAAAAATGAACTTTTAACTTGTGTATTTGAATTCCTCACAAAGATTGATTAAGTTACTAACAATTAGCTTTTTCTCTTTGAAAATTTGACTTACAAAGAAAATTGTAAACTTCAAATAAACCAAAATTAATCAAAATAATAAAATTAGTAAAAATTGAATTACAAATCAGAAACCAATAATCAGAATAATTAGATAAATGACTGATTGTTTTAACATGGAATTACTCTATAGTACATAATTACTTATTAAATAAAATTTAATTACCGCTGGTTGAGGAGGGTATGCATCTAAAGTACTTTGTGGTGCAATAGGATAATGTGCAGGAATAGGAGGATAACCATAACCACCAGGTGGAGGGTAACTCATATTGTAAATATTTACTTTTATTTTACTTTTTATTAAAATATCAATTAAATTTACACAAAAAATATCAAATTTTCAAACTTAAAAATCATGAAACTTTTAAACTTAAAATATTTTATAAAAAAATAAAATAAACAATTTTTATATTACTTTAATTCTAACATTTTAAATAAAAATGAAATATAAATAGTTATCAATCTTTCTAAAATCAATAATACAAATTATATCTTGTTGTCTTTTAAATATCATTGTTAATTAATATTTCACAACACATTTTCTTCAATTCAAAATAATTATGATTCTACTGCAACTTCACTACATAAATTCTGCTCATTAACACAAAGTTTGGGATCTTCTTCATCGCCTTGCGCTTTCCATAAGCCATATGTTTTCCCGACAATTGTTTGCCATAATCTTAGAGTCCCGTCTTCAGACCCTGAGGCGTATAACTCACCATCAGGAGAAAACCTTACACAATGAACTGGACCAAAATGACCATGATACGCTTCTAAGAAATGTAAAATTTAGAATTATAATTAAAAAAAAAAAAGAAAAACACAAATTTAATAATTTAAAATTGTTTTTATAAAATAATTTTTTTGTTTTAAAGAATTTCACAAATACAAAACTTAAAATAACAACTTTTGAAATGTAAAACTATAACGGCAAATACCTAGCTGTATTCCTGTGTTAAAATCAAATTTATAAAGCAAGAAATCCTCTCCACCAGTAACAAAAATATTTTTTTTGGGACTCAGTGAAATAGAATTAGTAACAGTCTTTAATTCATAACTTTTTAATAATGATAAACTGTAAAATAAAAAGGCTTTAAACTAAACAACAATAAAAAACTAAATAGCTTCATAATCATAATAAGCAACCATTAGAATGTAATTACATTATAATCTGCAACCATTATAATGCAGTTACATTATAATGTAACTGTAATTACACTATAAAGCAATTCTAAAACTATATTTTAAATAGTTTGATAAATACAGTTTTACAAACTATCCACAACTGTTACACAAGTTTGAATGACATGTATAATATACTTGTTATTTACAACAACAACAAAAAATTCTGGTAAAATTAAAAACATATATTTTTTAAGAAAATGGAATATGTTAATTTTTATTAGGCTCATCTTTTTTATCTGAACATCTTAAATCTTTTGAAACATTTATAAATATGTCCATTGTTTTGATTCAAAATTGATAATAAAAAATTTTTTAAATCAATTTAAATTTAGTTCAACAGTAGGAGACATTTAACTAACTTTAATTTTAGCTATCTTCACTTTTAATAATTTATTTGTTAATTTGATTAATAGCAATTTGAATGTTATTTTAATCACTTGATAAAAAGTGTTTATTGCAAGTTGTGCAGTACCCAATAAGCGCACAACCTCATTGGATTTTAAACTTGGAATAAGACATATAAGACATATAAATACTATAAGACAGAGCAATACAATGCCAAAAAAAGTTAAAAACATAAAAACCAAATTACCTTGAAGAGTCATAAAAAAGGGCTTGATTACCACATACAACAGAAAGTGTTGATTGATCTTTAGATAATTCTAAGCCAGTTAGTGGTTTATCCAGCACAATGGTATTTATTTGCTTAAATGAGCGAACATCCCATAATCTAAAAAAAATTAGTAACAAATAAAAACATAAACATTATTTTAATAGAACAAAATCTCACTTTTACTTTTTTGATTCCAGCAAAATTTGTTATAGTTCAAAACTTGTTTTCAACTTTTCTTTCAATATTTGCAACGACAACAACAAAAAAAGAGAGATAAACCAACGATAATTTATTTTTGTAACAACAAAAACCTCAGTTAATTAATGTTTTAGTTTGTGCGTGTGTCTCAGTTAATTAATGTTTCAGTTTGTGTGTGTGTTTCTCAGTTAATTAATGTTTCAGCTTGTGTGTGTCTCAGTTAACTAATGTTTCAGTTTGTGTATTATGCTTTAGTTCAGTTTATGGTATTATGATGCGCTCAGGTTCAATGGCTTCTCTTAATTTAGGTAATGCTAGTGTTTTAATACTTAGCATAACAGACTGATGCAGCAAGTCTAAGTAAATGGAACCAGTCACAATAGTTTCAAAAATGCCCAGTAAATTTGCAGTTGTTAAAAAGTCTGCATTATTCACACATTGTTCTAAATATTAATTGCAATATACTCTTTTTAAGTTGATTACGGTGCTCCAAGAAGTCCTTTCGGTCTTACCACAGAGCACCGCGGAATTTCTTTGTTCTGGATCATCATCATAAAATGCCTGGACTAAGCTTGGAATATACCATAATGTAATGAATAGATGATTTTGAAATTCCTACCTCACGACAAGCCTGCTATACAGTCTTTCAAGTACTCTTTCTTCCTAGAACTCCTTGATGTTCATGGTCTTCCAGAATGCTTTTTATGAACAATCTAAATAGTTTTATCAGCTTCAAACTTATCACTGATTTTAGTGATGGTAACTCTCGCTAGAGGTTCTTTTTGAAATTCATTCTTAAATTGTTTTTGTACTTCAACTGCATTTTCACACTTCTGATTTTTTTAAGTATATTTTTTTCTTTGATGTTTATTCAGACTGTCAGTAATTGAAGGGGTTGAAAAATAAATACAAATCGTTTAGTTTGCAGGCTGCAGGGGTTGAAAAATAAATACAAACCGTTTAGTTATTGCCTATTTACAATTATTTAAAATTTAATAAAAAATAATTAACACTAAGTATTTAAACAAATATTTACTATACTTTTTAAAATATTTTATAAACTTTTACTTTTATGTTACAAAATTACTTAAACTCTGTATATATTTTTTTGAAACACCATGATTGCACAATAAACGAAAACATTTAAAAAAAATTTTATGTAAATGACATCTAAAATTTTATATTTTAACAAGCATCTTGATTTAGTTGTAAGTATATTTTAACAAGCATAAAAAGAAAAACCTTTATTTTGTCTTCAGTAAACTGACTGATTTGTGAAGTATAAATATTACAAACAAATGTTCAAGTACAAGAGGTCTAAAAGACAACTTAGTTTGCAGGTTTGTTGCAAAGATTTTGGACTTTATTAAGTAAAGGTTTGTTGCAAAAGGGAATAATCTGAATATAAATACATGAGTATATGCATATGCATGTTATAATTTGGTGATATCCAAGTAAGAATTTACTAGAAATAGGTAATTTTGGAGCAGAATATTTTTATATGTTTTAATAGCAATCAAATACAATAAATAATTAGGTAACACCATAAGTTACTTAGGTAGCATAACATAAGTTACTAAGGTAACAAAACATAAGTTACTTAGGTAACACAACATTTATATTTGAATATGATAATTTTTTTGTAAACACTAAAACAATATTTTTTACCTCACTGTTTTTTCATCACACCCTGATAGTATATTTGTATCATTATTTAACCATATGCATGCTTTAGGATTACCACCAAGACCTTCTATAATGTAAGGTTCTAAATAAAATTATTTTAAATTAAAATTAGTTTAATTATCATTGCATTAACATGATTGTTTGTGTTAAAAAAATAAGCAAAAAAATAATTTTTATTTTAATAAGTTATAACATTAATATTCATCAGTATTTTTTTACAAAAATCCACTTTTGTTTAAAACGTAAGGAAGTAATCCAGTATTCAGCTGAAAAACAATGCCACAATTCAAACAACAAACTCAAGCCAATTTATAAAAAAATATTTTTTTTATGAAGCTACCAAAAAAAGAACTGCCAATCCTGAACTTTTGTTTATTGGATGATCTCCCTCCAACTAGTATCGTGTATTTTTTTTGAAGCTGGATTATTTGTGACAAAAACTCTATCCGAAATGAGTGACAATTTACTCAATACATGTTTTCTCCCAAACCGTTTAGTGTTTTATTTTTTTATCTTTACATAAAGTCTTATTTATGAGCTTTTACATTTTTTTCTGTTACTTACCAATTTTTTACCAGTAAAATTTATTTTTTTGTATTGCTTTAGCAGCAAATTTATAAATTGATAAAAGCTAGACCTGATATATAAATAGCAACAACTGGAATTACACAAGTTTGACAGGAAAAAAAATTCAAAAAAGTCTTTTCCAAAAAAATGATGATACTTGTACAAAAGGTGAGGTGAAAGGTGACTTTTGACATATGATGATCCAATTTTAATCAGAGTTGTCATCTACATGATATTCATGATATGAATCATCATATACATGATATGAATTATCATCTATATGAATTATCATCTATATGAATTATTATCTATATTAATCATCATATATATGATATGAATTATCATCTATATGAATTATCATCTATATGAATTATCATCTATATGAATAATCATATACATGATATGAATTATCATCTATAATTATAATCTATAACATGACCATAATCATGAATTATAATCTATAACCTGACCATAAAACTGCATAAGAATGAAAATAATGTACAAACTTCACACTTATATTTAACATTATTAAAGTAATTAAAAAAATTTCACACAAAATATTTAACATTATTTAAAAGATTAATGTTTTTTAAAAATTAGCACAAGATAACTCTTTTAAAAATTAGCACAGGATAACTCTTTTTCACAAAAACTAATCTTGAGAGATCGAAGTAAGAAATATTGGAGAGACTGTTACATGAACAAACTTCAGTTTGCAAAAGTAGATGCTTGAAATTTTATACTTAGGAAACACTATAAATAAAGTACAACATGAATTTCAGATAAAAATAATTTTTTTTCAGGAGTGTCAACATTTATTCAGCTCTGATCAAACCCTAAACAGATAAATTTTATCAAACCCGAATGTAATCAAATTTCAACCCTGGTTACATACTATCTCTCAAGGAAAAATTTAATCTTGCAGTTAGAAATTATTGCAGTAGACTTGTCGTCTTTGACAAAATATTTATTAAAAAACTCATAAACTCATACAAAGATTTTTTATAATCATATAATTTTTATATATTGTTTAAACTGTTGTTATACACTGACTTAATATACTTAATGTATATCAAGTCATTGTATAGTCAATGGGTATACTTAGCGTATTACTAAGCATATGCTTAGTAATGCACTAAATATAAGTTAATGTGTATCTAAAGTTAAATTCAGTGTATAATCAATATGTTAAAGTCAGTTACATGCATAAACAAAAAAAGAAACAAAATGTAAGAACACCTTTATCAGGACAGCTGAGATCAAATAACCTCATAGTTTTATTATTGCTTCCAGTTAATAACCTATCCTCATCCTATAAAAAGAATTCAGCTAAATTATTTCAAAAAGAAAAAAATAAATGCATATGATTATAGCCATATGGTAAAAAAAAAATATTACTTTTGAAAAGTCAACTGTCTTTACAATGTGATTGTGTGTAAAAGTAAAGAGTTCTGTTCCTTTTAGCGCATCCCAGACCTTTCTAAAAAAACAATTTTATACAAAGAATTTGAAAAACATGCATTTATTATTAAGTGTTAAAAGAGGTAATAAAGATAATTTTAACACTTATCACATCTGATGAGGAGAGTTTAGTATAACTAACTTAGTCAAAATATTGCAATTAAATTCATTTGTGTTATTGTTTATTTTAACATAAAAAAGTTTGAAAAGCAAATTTTTAAACTAAATTTGAGCAAAAAGAATGTGACAAACTTTTACTGTTACGTGAATTTATGTTTATAAAGTTAATTAGTTTATTTTCAGTTAAAAAATTACATTTTAAATTTTGTTTAAACAACAAAATTTAAAATGTTATTTTTAAATAAAATAACACTTTCCTAATTTGCAAGAACAACATTAAACTTATTTCTTATCATTTTTATGCTTTCTATTAACAACAAAATAAAGCTTTTTACCATAAGTAAACAAACTCACTTTAATCCTAAAATAGCTTTGGAAAAACTTTCAAGTACACAGTTGATAAATGACAAATGAAAATCGACATGCACAGAAACATTTCTTTCCTGCTCTCTAATATTATTTTCTGAAAAACTTTGCTGTTGATAAAATATTGACATCAAAGGTATGCTGAAATGTTGTTTGATTTAAAATATTGACATCAAAGGTATGCTGAAATATGAAAGGTATGCTGAAATGTTGCTTGATTTAAAGCTCTGTTTAAAAACTTATTTTCTGTGTATGCCTAATTTTATTGAAAACTATGTAAAAAATACCTTATTTTTTGTAGCAAAAGCTTTTAAACATAACTTATATTATTATATAATTAATAATATTATATATTTATATTATACACATTAAAGAACTATTATTAATTATTTATTTAGAATAATTAATAATAGTTAAGTTATATAAAATAAACTTAAGTATTAAGTTTATTTTATATAACTAAAGAAATAAAGTATTAAGTTAACATTTAAGTTGAAATTTTGAATTTATATATTTATTATGTTTAAATTGCTTTTAAAAAAATTTACAACACTTAACCGAAACATTGCTTACATCGAACTTTTTCTGATGCTTTTGTTTTCTAAAAAGTGTTTGCCAAACCTTTTTGATAAAATGGCTGTCAAATTTTGCCTCAACTGTCGCAAATATTTGCTGTTAGTTGTGCAATCTCTGATAATATTTGTCTTTTGTAAGATGCATCATTTGACTCTCTATAGTAATTATTCATTATTAATTACGGAAATTACTCATTTACCAAAAAAGAAAAGTTGAAAACTAGTGAAACCCATGTTCATCACATCAAAAATACAGGAACGACTGTAAACTTGAGAGACAAAAAAGATAAGAGACTTATCTGCTACAATTCACAATAGTAAAATAATGAACTGCAAACACTTTGTAAACTGTAAAATAAATATTTTAGGAGTAAAAGAACTTTTCTTTTATTCCTTTAAAACTTTTTGTGTTTTTAAAGTCAGGATTTGTGTAAAAAAACTTTAAATATCTGACAAGTCTTCCACCAAACAGGAAAAAAAAAATAATAAACAAAATTTTTAATAACTGTAGCTTTTAAGAGCTGCAATAAGTAGCCCCACTGGAACCTTGGGCAGTTAAAGTTAATTCTTTTTAAAAAAATCTCCTTTAGTAGTTTCAAAACTATTTGCACATATTAGATCTATTTTATTTTAGGAATCATTTCAATGTGTTTATTTAGAGCTAACCAAAAGATCAACTTTTGCTACCTAAAGATGTCAATGATGTAGGATAACAAAAAAAGATGTATTCTGTCCAATTTAGAAAAAATCTTCATAAAAAAGACAAATTTAAAAAACATTATTAGGCAAAGAAAAATAATTCAAATTGAATAATTTAAAACCAAACAGAAAAATAATTAAATTATTAGATGTTAAAATAAAAATTAACAATAAAAAAAAAAGTCATGAAACTATATTGTTAATTTGTATAATGATATAAAATGAAATAAATAATTTAAAAAATAATGTTAAAAATTATAAATAATGTTAAAAAATGAGCTTCCAGAGCAGAAAATTTGACAGATACCAACGCCCCTTCAGTCTTTCTGATGAATCAACACATTACACCCGGTAACCAATGATCAGCTTCAAACAAAATAACTAGCAGCTGGTTGCAGAAGCAGAAATTTATTTCAAACCTTGTACTATTTTGTGACTCTTTTTTAAATATTTTGTAAAACATTTGGTAGTATAGAACATCATTTGAGGAGAAAAAGAAACATCACCAAAAAATGCAAATTCTAAATTATCATATTAGTATGTAAAACTTTCAAATTAATTTACACTATACAATCACCTTAACACTCTAGTTAAAAGATAAATAAAAACTAAAAATTTTTAGGAAATAATAGATTAAAACTATTTTTATAGACATTAGAAAATAACGCTTTCAAAATAAAATAAAAAAATCTTCAATTAAATTTTATTTATTTTATTTTATTATTATTAATAATTCATACGCTGTATAATCTGCTGCAGCTGTTGCTGCCAATGTGGCTTTTTTATTGAGTGTTGCACCCCAGACAGCTCCTTTGTGACCATCAAATGTGCCTATCCAATCACCAGTGTGACCATGACGCAACATTGGTTTGCCATCTAAATAAAATTCTTACTTTAAATATATTATAATAAAATTATTTATCATATTCAAAAGTGAATATTGAACAAACTGATTTTTGCTTGTAACTGAACTATTATGTTTAAATATATAAGTAATATAAATAATAATACAAATATTTAATATAACAATTTTTTTAATTTTAAAGCAAACATTAACTCTTGAGTAAAGGAAAGTAGACATTAAACATTTATTTATTTGTCAATTTTTTGACAAATTTTTGACACAGACAAATAGACATTCAACATTTATTTATTATTTTATAATTCTTTTATTTATTTATCAATTTTTTGAGCAATGTTAGCATGTTTGTCAGTGTGTTTAGCCCAGTTTTATCTGTCATATATATAAAGTATAATAATCTGTCATAAATAAAGTCAGTTTTATACAAGCAAGTCAGATTAAGGTTATCATCTGACTTTCAATATAATAGTTCCAATACAACAGTTTTTTGCTTGTGATTTGTTAAAACAAATTATTACCTGATTTGTTTCAAAATATTTACCATATACTTTTGAATCTTAAAAGTTAATACTGTACCATTTTTAGTGAAATTTTGTAATTTTATTCCATACAGATTGATAATTATGATAATTATGACAGATTTATAATGATTGAAAATAAAAATAGGAGCAAGACACAATAGAGAGAAAACTTTAGAGATATCAATTTTGACCTAACACTATATATTGTGTTAATAAGCCTCTTTTTAAGCCCATCACATGGACAAATTCTAATTATATGTAACAAGGGACTTTCCCAATGTTTTCTAAATTTTTTTAAAATATTTGTGTAATCAAAGTCAATGTTTAAGCATTAATTTTTAAAAATAGTTTAAAAAAAAAAATAAAAGTTATCAAAAAATAATTATAAACAAAAATAAAACACTGTTTATAAAAATTTTTTAATTTGATTAAAAAATGCTTATTGTAAACAAAAAACCTCTTGTTAAAAATATTAAAAATAACTATTATATAACAAAAAAAAAAAAAAAAATGCAAAAAATTCCTTTCTCAAATTTTATCTAACAACATGTTTCAAATGGGGCAACAGCCTGCATCACCAGATACTTCACTATGTCGGCTTTAATCCTTTTTTCTTTTTAATTTATTCTGTTATGTATACAATGTTCATATTTTCCAAAATGTTCAACATAATTTAAACAGCAGAGTTAAGCTCATTACTGTAAATAGAATTCAATCTCTGCTTGATTAACTGAACATTTTACTGTTTTAAAACAATTTTTTTGATACACTTATTAAATTCAGTATTGTATATAAACTTTATTTTTTGAACTTTTTATTTTTTATACAAAACAAAATTGAAGTTCAACACACGGCTATGTTCATAAAATAAGTCATTTATTTGAGTTAACTCATTTTTTAAAAGACGCCAAAGCATTACATTTTTTATGTATCAGGTAACCCAGTTTTTATTATTTATATTAAAACGTTGCAATTAGTTATTAATTTAAATTTTAGTTTATTAGGGATGTACTGGAATTCCGATCTGGCCAGAATTTGTGACTTTTAGGTTATTTCGATTCCGGCCGGAATTATAATATTTCAGGCCGGAATGCCAGAATTTACTTTTTACTTTATTTATTTAAGACATATGACACAGACTGTGTAAATTAAATCAAAAAATCATTGTCCTACAGGGCAATGAAGAACTATGGGTAAACCTAGATAAAAAATACAAAATTCTTAACAAATAAAATGTAATTTTAGGTAAAGCTACAGTTTAGTGCTCTAAAATAATTTTATTTTTTCGCTTATTGTGCTCTTGTTAGTGGAGAATTTTTAAACATCAGAAATTTTAATTGAAATAATAAAAGAAAAAAGATTGCTGTTCTATGCCAAATCCACAGTCAATGTAGCACTTCCTTGAAAAAGCAGGCTACAAGATAGTCAATGTAGCAACACTCCCTTGTAGCAGCTGGCTGTAAGATAATGGATGTAGTAGCACTTCTTTGTAGCAGAAGGCTATAAGATAATGGATGTAGCAGCACTCCCTTGTTGCAGCAGACTAAAAGATAGTCGATGTATGTACTAAAGCCAATAAATATTCTTTATGTTTATATTAAAACGTCACCACTTTATACATATATATATAAATGTACATATATATATATATATATATATATATATATACATATATATATATATGTACATATATATATGTACATATATATATATATATGTACATCAGGCCTTGCGATAAAGCGTCGGGCAATGTGAATTTTACGTCGTCCAAGAGCGATTTTGCTTGTAGCTAGGGCTATTTGCGTCAAGCAAAAAAAATTTTGTTTGAGTATATTTAAAGATATTTTTGAGCGGAATTTTAATGAAGTAATTTACGATTATTTTAACATTTAATAAAGTATTTTAAAAACCGCACGCAGTTGATATAAAAGTTTGAATTACAAAAAAAAAAATATGCTCATTATTTACAAGTAGAAAAAATTCAGATTAAAAAAAAAGTTTAAATCTTTTTAAGCTAACATTTTAATAAAATTATTGAGCAATAGCAAAGTTGTCGATAAAATTGAACAAAAACACTTTCTTTTAGTTTTAGATTTTTAACTTAAATAATTATTTTACGGGGGTTTGTTAGGTTTTAAAATTACTTTATAGATTTAAAAATATTTATTAACTGTTAGACGAATTTAAAGTATTTAAGAGTAACTTCGAGGAAGCATTTTAAAAATTGGTAAGCGCAAATGAAAAAAAAATAAAAGGATTAATATTAAAACGTATTCTACTTGATTCAATAAAAAAGTACAGTTATTAAATTTTTTGTAAAAAGTAACTCGAAAAAAATTACTTAAATAATAACAATCGCTTTTTGTTAAAAGTTACCGAAACTCAACGAAGCGTGCTCAAGAACAGCTGCTGAAAAATAGAACATCAATAGTTTTTCGAATAATTTTTAAGAATAATTTTTTCTCTGAAATATGTCTTTTATACCTATAAGATTTTTATTCTAACATTTTATTTTATTTTATTTTACCAAAAACAAAATTCCTTATAAACATTAAAAATCTATTCAAACGATTGTGCTTATCAACCGCTTTATGAAAATAAAAATAAATAAATATTATATAAAATCGCTAGTAAAAATATTAGCTATTGCACAGTTTTTAATCGTACAATATTAAAATTTCCAGTTTATTACTCGCTGACTTTTTAAAATGAAAAAAAAATTATTCGAAAAACTTTAACCCTTTTGTTTTTTTTCCAAGTATTTTTCCAAGAACTGATGCCTGATATTTTGGATATACCAATTAAAAAACCTCTCTAAAAGTTATAGTTCAAGCCTTTTAGTCTTAAATATTAATCTTTTGTGCTTCTACACATATAAATTGAGCTTAGGAGATTTGGAATTTTTAATTTACGGATAGTTTTTATGTACAAAACACTGAAGATAATTGACAAAAATGTTTGTCGGTTTCAGCCAAGATGGCTTTGAGAAATAGGATTATAAATGATCCAAATGAAGTTTTTCAAATCCTTGATAAAAAAGACGATGTTAGTGATTTGTCTTTTGAGTCTTCAGAGTCTGATGACAACGAATTCCAAGAACTGATGCCTGATATTTTCTCAACAACAGCTCCTTTGACAATGACATTATCACTAAGTCAGTCATCATCATCAGAAATAATTTCATCTTCATCATCTGAAGAATATGTTAGTTCCGAAGATGATTTAACAGAAAATATAGCTGTCACCTTTTCTATTAATAATTTAGTAACTAATGATAATAAAGGACTCTTTACAATAGCATTTGCTGATAGCAATGATACTGTAAACAATAAAAGAAAAATCTGTAAACAATCAACTAGTAAACAACTTCATACCATTAAGACCAAGAAGCCTACTATTAGTAAAGATAATAGAGAATGGAAAAAAAATTAAAATTATTAGAACTATTACTCCATTTATGGCAATACCAGGACCAACATTTAGAAGATCTGCAATACCTAATTGCGATGGAAATATCAAACCAATCCATCTCTTTGAATTGTTCTTTGATAATGCTTTAATACAAAAACTTGTCACTGAAACAAATAACTACCATTCAAGAAGGTTACAATCTTCTCCTATAAAGCATAGAATGGTATGGGTTGATGTTACGTCAAATGATGTTACGTCAAATTTAAGGGGTAAACAGATTCTATCTGTTGACCAGCCTCGCACCCCTTCCTCATCTATTAGGCTGGCGCAGATGTATTTTTAATACATTGTTTCCAGTTTAGGATGTTGAACGCTGGATCTTCTTGACTCAATGCGTGGGTATTGCTTGTGTCTCTATTTTTATGACTGGGCAACTCATTCTATTATCTCCTAATGAGGGTACAGCTCTAAAACTCAGTTTTATGGTTCTGAGGCCGGCTGGTAGTCAGGTTTCCCGAACTCTGTGGTAGCTCTCAGAGAGGCTGATTCCATCAACAGCCGAAAAATATCAGAGTACTAACAGTGCCATGTTGCGCATGGATGGTGTCCCTGTTTGTACTTTTGGTGTGCATTGCAGAGGCCACATTTGGAGCCCTTTGTTACGGCTTAGGGTTTATTAATAGTAATGAGGCTATTGCTTAGTTGTTAAATAGTGTACTGAGTACTATCTATACTTGAGTCAAGTTTCTTATAAATTTAAAATGACTAAAGTACCTAAAACTAAAAAACACAAAAAACCATTGTCATCACCAAGTTCTCTAAGCCTATCATTTACTAATATTCGTGGTCTTCGAAGTAACTTTTCTTCTGTTGAGTCTTATCTCTTGCAAAGTTCACCAGACCTACTTGCTCTTTGTGAGACTAATTTGAGTTCAGCTGTCCCATCTTGTGATCTTAGTGTTGATGGTTATCTTCCTTTAATTCGTAAAGACTCCAATAATCACATGCTTGGCCTGGGCATCTACATTCGTAAGAACTCACCCATTTGTCGTGAAACTAGGTTTGAATCTACAGACTATTCA